ATAAGTTAAACTAGACCCATTTGAACTCTTTGCTTGAGTATATTGGTTACTTTGTGATTCTATGTTAGGCAATATTTTAATTTGTTTGGATAATGGCAGTATAAACTTACTGGGCACAGATTATATTTAGTTTGCTTTATATATGTTATTTCTATTCTTTATATAATCCTTCTGGTTATTATTATCTCTGCCTTATAGATGAAGAAACTGAGATTCAAAGAGATAAAAATAATTGTCATATGGAATTGTAGTTTCTGTTCTGCAATTAGTCATTTATCTGATACTGTCTATGTGTTACCAGGTACAAATATATTTTCTCCTTCTTTCACTAAATTTTTCCCATATTCATCATATCAATGGAGTAAACCAAAAGCTATAAAGGTGACCAGAAAGAGAGAAAAATAAAAGACAATTATTTGAAAAGGTCAAATTTAATTAGGGCATTATTTAAATTTTTGTTTTATTTTCCTTGATTCTATTTTTCCACTTTTATTCCAATTTTTAAACTTAATATATACATATATTTCATTACCTCAAATTTAGGTAAGAAGTTTATTTCAATAAATTGTTTTATTACTAAACTATAAACTATACAAAATATTACATTATACTTTGTAAAAAAAAAAAACCCACACAAGTAAATCAGAAATACAAGTGCTGATTCCTATAGGTGTCAAATGTAAAAGGATAAAAAATATTTGTTTATTTTGGCGGGTATTGTGGTATCATGAGAGCACTGTTTTAGTGTCAGTATAGCTTTGATTCAAAATCAAATGTCAAAGTATATTTCCTTCTATATAAAAATGAAACAATACTAACTATATAGGGTTGCTGCAAGAATTCCATTAGATCACACTTTATAGACACATAGCACAGTGTCTAACACGTAGTAGGCACTTGAAGGTGTCTGATTTGTTCCTGTGTGGCAAGGAGATGGCATGCCCAGAGTCCTTGAACTCATAAAACAGTAGAGCCCCAAATGCCACGATGCCTTTCATGTTTCATTTTGATCTACTCTCTTTTAAAGTAGGGCAGTCTGACTCATCTGTTGTTTTGTTTATGCCCTAAGTTCTTTGCCCCTTCTTAGGGGGCCAGCATCCTAATGTTATTTGAGGCAGTATCCCTCCACCTCTTTCAGTCCATACTTTTCAGTTGGAGATGTCCACTCCTTCTAGCTTCAAAAGAAGGCACATGGCCCAAAAATGACCTGTAAGAGTCACGTGATTGATTTAAGAATGACTGTGTGACCCAAACTGGGTCAGTGAGTTCCAGGAGTTTTGCTTAAACTACTAGGAAAGGAACACTCTTCTCCACTGGATTGCTAAACTGATGAAAACCTGGAGCCATTATGGGCTACCATGAAAGGAGAACTTACCTTAGAATGAAACCGAAGAAGTAATGGTAATGTAGAGAAACTTACATTCGATGACATCTTTTAAGTTTCAGAATCCAGTTGTGTCTGAAGACAAGCTACACCTGACCTTTTCTTTTTCTTTTTCTTTTTCTTTCCTGACCTTTTCAATTGCGTAAATGAATCTATGTGGCAAACAACTTTTAAATTGGCCCTTAATAATCCCATTTTGGCCATCTAACTTTAGGACGTTAGCAATAATCCAGCTTTCTGGTATACATACCTTTGTGTTATTCCTTCTCCTTTAAGGTCGGTTAATGACTTGCTTTTAATGAATACAATAAGGCGCAAGGGATGGGATGTCAATTGCATTATTAGGTTACTAAAGACTGACTTCTGTCTTACAGGCATAAGCTCTCTATTGCCTCTATGCTTGCACACTTTGAAGCAGCAAGCTGCCATGTGGGCGAGGTCAAGCAAAGAGGAACTCGGGCAATCTCTGGGCAACAGCAAGGGAGGAATTGAGGCATTTAGTCCAAGGAGCTGAACGTTGCCAGCAATCAGAGTGATCCTAGAATGCTGCCTCAGGCAACCCCACACTTCCATAGCCACTGGGCCAGAGCCTGGTCCCCTAGAGCTAGCAGTGTTCCTGGGGCAGCTGCTCTGATAATGGGACTCTCACTGGGGGTGGGGTGTAGAAGAGGGAGAATTGGGATTTCCCTGCAAAGCGGCCCAAGTCAGACTCTGTACTGACAAGCTGGGATAAGGGCCCACTGGCAACCAAAGTACCCAGGTGTTTCTTATCCCAGGACTCTCGTGGGCCTCTGCAGATCTCCCGATATCTCCCGAGATCCCGCGAGATCACGC